GTTCGGCGTCGTGGCACTTGGGCTCTGGGAGTGACTCATAGTCCACTCCCCATAATATTATTTAGCTGACGTGCGGCCTGTCCTCTCCGCCTAAGCAGATGGTCATTCTGTAGTAACTTCTCATATGGATGCTTCTACATCACCCCGTGAGATTATCTTCTTGGGTGAGTCGGCAGTTCAGGGCCACGGCTGCACTGCATCAACCTCATAGTGACGCCAGTCATCCACTCATACAAAAAGCCACTGGGAGTTCGACCTACGGGGGCAGCACTACTGACTTTAGGTCGCCAGCTTGCACGGGAGCCTTTGAAGGCTCAACCTGCAAGGGCGTCCAGGCAGTCCGTTGGCCGCCGGCTTCTACGGGAGCCACGAAGAGGTTGACTTGTAGAGGCGACCTCGCGAAACAGGGCTAATGAGGCCTCGTCCTGGCTGATTGTTATTGAGAATGAGTTGAGGTCGTTTTGCTACTATCTACATCGGGCTTCTCCCATGCTCAAATCTGGAAATCCATGCTTCATCTCATAAAATTTCCACGCTTCAATCCCGACGGGAACTGCTGATAGCTCTACCGCAGGGAGAGGGGCGTTCACATGCGATAGCGGTATATTTATCCGGGGCACTGGGAATGCTGGGTTCGACCTGAATTTGTCTTATTGTCACAGGGGAGTTCTCAAGGTTCATCACAGATGTTCTTGCCCCCGAGTAATTGATATTCGTTCCGGATGTTGGTGCTGCTTAAAAATGCTTTTTAATTCATAAAAAATGAAAATTAGAGAGTGAAAACTTAAATTTTTAAAAGGCACGATCTTAGCTTTCTTGAAGACGAGGACTTAGCTTTTTTGAAGGTGAGAACTTGGCTTCTTGTAGCGTTTCCTACAGATGGCGTCAATTGATGATGCACGATCTGGAAGCTCCTAGATGGAAGATGACCTGGACCTTAGTCGTGTAGCGAGCTGAACCAAGCTGCAAGACAGAGGATTAGAGAACCCAGGGTGGCTAACCCGGCAAGGTCACTTTGATGCTTAAGTCAATACTAGGTTGTGCGAGTTAAAAGTTTGTATGCTAGTAAGCTAGTGAGCAAATAATCGTGCGTACTCTGTGTCATTGTGGTTGGTGCCTTTATATAGGCTTTGTTTGGTGTAGGCTTCGCGCACCGCATCCAAGATTTCCGGGAAGTCGTGCCTTACTGGTCTGAAATCCTTGTGGGTAATTGCTATGCACATTGACCATCCTCCGGAACATTCGATACACAGGCCAACTTCAGAGAAACCTGGGAGTGTCGGGTTATGCATGCTAAATTTGTCGACGAACATATCTCGCAGGTCACCGCCTGGTCCTCAATTAGATCGGCAAGCCCTCGAGAGAGGTCGCGCCTCGTGTTGAAGTCACTTCGGCCGATGACAATGTGCTACAGGTCGGCCCTGGATAAGGTGCTGCAAGCCGACCTAAATTGTGGTCGAGGTCGCTAGGTCAGCGATAAAGGCAGGTCGCCAGATCAGGGTGAAGACAAACTACGATTTGGAACACCAAATCATCGCTTAGGTGACATCTAGGTATTGTTCAGCTGTTTTGGGATGCCATATGTCATGAGGTTATTAGAGGGCCAAATCCGCCCTCATCAGGGTTCATGGAGATTTAATTCAGTTAAGCGCCAACTCTCTCTCTCAAATGAATCACTAAATTTTTCATGAGAAATTTGCAATAAACTTGGATGGGATAAATTGACACTTTTAGTAATAGCTTTTGCATGGGTAAAAGAGAGATTAAGTTGATCTTTTCTGATTGGTGTTAGGTAATGACAACCTCAAAATAATTTGATTTTTAATTTATATTGAAAACTTTGAAACCTATTGCGTCAATAAAATTTTCAGCATTAATAGATTACATGTCTTTGAATAATTAAAGGTGAATCCACAAAACACTAAATATAGGAACCACAAAAGAGTTTTGAAGGTGAGGGAAAGCAGAATTGATACAACCATAAGCAATAATGCACACAAGCATTAAGAATGCTGGAAGAGAGAACTAAATTCAATTTGCATATAATTTTTTGGGTGAAAATTTAATTTGCAAATTGTATACCAGAGGCTTCAAAACTACTAAAAATCTAAAACACCTACCAACAATATAAACACCTGCAGAAAGATTCATTAACAAAATCAAAGCAAAAATCAAGTTTCTAAATATCGACAAGAGCCAATACACTAGTAGGGCTTATTGGCTTGTGTCGATACATTTCTTTTACGTTTTATTTATTTTTTTCAAAACCGGTTCAGAGGGGTTAGTTTAAAACCCAACTACCCTCTGAACCAGTTACTGAGGCTGACCCAATACAACCCATGGAGGGATGTATCAATACTTTGAACCTTGGCAAAAATTATTACATTCGACTTGTACAATCAAATCCTAATGACAAACAATATATGTAGGAATATTATACTTATTTGGGAGAATCACTGATCAGCCCAGCTCAGAATTCTTAAACCCCACCATACAGAAGATGAATCCAAACCCACAAGCAAGATGCAATGTATAAGGGTGCTACTAATAGACCATGGGGGGCTGTAATTCAGAATTCTACAGTGAGCTGCAAAGTACTTTTCCCTACTCATTTTCTAGCATCCTAACAATATATTTTAGAACCTACCTACTCACACAAACACGTGTGGAACCAAATCCCAAGCATAAATAGAAAGGATTCTATCTGATAAGGGCAATTTTTGGACCTAATATCAATAAAATTAAACTTTTTAACATAATTTTTACAATAGGCTAACTTTTTCTTTCAAATATTAAATAGGGATAGAAATACTGTTCATCTCCTTTTTCCTCCAGACCACCAATCTCTCTCCCTTCTTCTTCTCTGCATCTGAGTTTTTCCAAACTCAAAGCAGGATACTCCCCTTAAATTTTCTTTTCTGAGGCAAAAGAAGTTAAGCAGCAGGAGATGCCTCTCATACTCCAACCTGATGTGCCCGGTGGAGAAGCGAAGCAACTCATCAACACAAACTGTCTCTCTAATCATTTTTCTTAGGGGAAGAAATTAATAAGAAATTCTAGAAAAGAAAGAACTCAGAGGGTAAGAACAAGGCACAACGCACACATTATAGTAGTTCTTCTGGGAAACTGTGTTTCAATTCGTGGCAACGGATGCGAACATGAGGTGATCAAACTGGTAACATCTAACAGTGGAATCGTAGAGTCATACGCACCACCCATCACCGTAGAGTCGATCACCAACGAAATTCCAGGCAACGGCATATTCCGGAGCCGCAATCTCTTATCTCAACCACTCATCCATAATGAAGAGCTCCTCTCTCCGGAGACTTGTACTATCTACTACCTCTGATGCTGGGAGAGGAGCCCGAATCACCAGAGACTGTGTCCTCAGACCAAACAGATCTCTCTCGCTTCTTCACCATTTTTGTTTGCAGCAAACAAGAAACTATAAGGGTAAGCAAAAGAATAATCTGTGATCAATAATTATTAATATTGGAGATTGTTTGGTGATTTGAAGAAGGAGATGAACAGCTTTTCTGCCCCTATTTGATATTTTTCAAAAAAAAATAGCTTATTTTAATAATTATATTAAAAATTATTTTTATTGACATTATAGCCCAAAAGTTGCCCTTATCGGCTATAATCACTAAATAGAAAGATGCAAAAATAAACAAAAGATAGACCAAACCTGGGATCCTCCCCTCCTGAGCATTAATGAATAATGATAAAACAAACTGACCACCGTTAAACACAACAACAATTATACACAACCATCAACCCACATTAGTGATTATCCAAAAAGAACATGAACACCACAGCATTTTATCAGCCCACATTATCCATGTAGAATGACATTAATTTATTGAGATACAACACCTAAAAACCTCCTTGTCAATTATTCTCTATTATTTTTCTTTTACCGGAAAATGGAAAAAGAGTGGGAGAGAGCAAATCTCAGTGTACGGCCTTGCGCAACATAGTGGAAGAGAATCCACCCAATCATGAGCACCCTTCCCTCATTGCACCAAAAGAACATAGTGTGATACCGTTCAGTATAGGATTGGTTTCACACTCAGTCTGTTCTTTTATGAGCAAGGAAAAAAGTTTAATGTAAATAAAAGTATAGTTTTTTAACTGAAATCTGAATGTGAAGCGAAAAAACTGAAATCTGAATGGGTGATGAAGCACCATGGGGACTTGGGGAGATGAGGGATAATCGCCAGGAGCATTTGGCCCAATGCAATAGAAAGACCTACATTTTTTTGTAGAAATACAAACACCTAATATAGAAACCTCCACAAAGACGATAATACAAGAACACCTAACGAAATTAAAACCACAATCAGCCATCATCAAAATTCAAAAGTACATTACTTTTGCAATAATAATTCTCATCTCTTTGCTAGCAATAGAGAACAAAGAACAATGGTAACTTGTAAAACATCATAATATCCGACCATGAGGTCTTCTACATGAATCAGGTTTCGCTGGTTTATTATTTTTAATGTTGTTTCCATTGTTACATTATTATATAAACTTTATAAACAAGACTAAAAAATGGTTGCCACACTATCAAACCCCATATCTCGAACTTTTATAAATGCATGAGAAAAAAATTGACAAATAGAAAACTTTATCCGTGCTTCCTTGGTTATTAGATATGCGCAGTCCAGAAGCTTTTCAGGCTATAACCTATCAGGCCTTTCCATCTTGTGTGTAAGAGAGAGAGAGAGTAATTAAAATAATACTACCAATGCAAACATATCCACCAGTTTCAATTTTCGGAAGATCAACCCTAGGTGTACATTTAGGTGACAAATAAGACCTCCCTTAATAAGGCTATTCAAGAGGAAAGAGAATGAACCAATGAGAAATTGCAAATTATTAATTACACAACAATAACAAAGCATAACTAAATAATACAGAGCAGACATTGGGAGGGCAACGTGAATGAGAATGCAAACGGACAAGGCATAAAGGGAAGACGAGAAAAAACGAAGTCAATATAAGGGATTTCATCAAATGCCTTGGGAGGACTTTCCAACATCTTAATCAATTTCAATAATTTCCTTAGATACCAAATTCGAATTTTCAATTTATAAACCACTCATAATCAGAACAATCCCAACGCAAAATTTTGCAAATCGGATTGCGGAGTTTTGGGCTTGTTAACATACACTAACAGCAATCAAAATTCCCACAATAGAGCCAACAAGTTAAACAAAATATCTACCCTGGGAGAGACCCTAATTTTGCAAAAGACTATATCATACTTAAAGGAGCTCCTAATCGAACAAGCTGAATCCCATGTCCTCGTCACTCTCTTCCTTTGGTTCTTCCTGAAATACCAAGAAAACAATAACCAAATAAAACAAAATAAGAATGTAGCGACTAAAGAATTACATTTCAACAGCCCACGAAATACTTAAAACAAGTGAATTATACCTTCTTTTCCTCTGCAGCAGGAGCAGCAGAAGCAGCAGCAGCGCCACCACCTCCGGCCTGGGCAGAAACAGCAACCGGGGCGCCACCTCCACCAGAACCAGCATTCATGATGAGATCTTCAATATTTCTCTTCTCCGCAAGCTTAGCAAATAAACTTGGCCAGTAAGATTCGACCGACACATTCGAGGATTTCACAATGGTAGAAATCTTCTCCGCCTGTTTAGAACTAGTTAAGGAGAAAAGCCTAATTCTTATGGAAGAATCCAAAAATTATCTCCCAAGTGAACCAAACGCAATGAACCCTATATATACCACAAGCTCCATCAACAAATAATCCCAGAAAACGGATCAATACTAGAACAAACGGGTAAATAAGTATACGCAACATAGGAAAGTCCAGGCAAAGAACTAAAACGACGAGATCAGAAAAGGATACAGTGACGGGAATTCCCTCGTCGTGGAGGATCAATAAAGCAAGACTGCAAGCTTGCTCTCCCACAGACATTGTAGCAAAATCTGTAAATCGAGAAAGTACTTTATTAAAAAAAAAAAACAAGGAAGAAAAATCAAGACAACAAACAACGGTAATAACAGAAATGCGTACTTCAGCAGGATCGAAAACAGAAGCAAGAAAGCATACCTCCAACAGCTGCAGCTGAAACAACAAAGTTGTGAGTCTATCCGCGGCTGCCAATCTAGGGCTTTCAGAGATGAAGGAAATATATTGTAAGGGCATGAAATGCTTATAAATCAATAAGAGCTCTAGGGTTTTGATCTACGGCTCAAATTGTAGATGGCAAATTGGCAATGAGAATAGTTAGTCCAACTGTGGGCTGGGCCTGTGCCCAGCGGTACAAGCCTTACGAATAAAAACCCTTGAACTAATCCTAAGCCCACACAACCTCATCGACGTCATCATCCAGCATCATCAAGGATCGAAGTATCAGTCCCAACCAATAATTCGGATATGGATAGGTTTTGGAAGTTGATGAAACTTGCGGAAAGCCGGAAATGTTTGATATATATATATATATATGAATATGTATATGAAAAATATATAAAAATTGTGTATTTTAAAGGTGTATATAAAAAAACGTTAACAAAATATTAAATTCTCAGATGTAAATTAAAATATCAATAAAATAGATTATCAAAACTTAAAATCTATAAAATCTTTTAAAATTTCTAAGATATACATCACATGCAAATTCATAATTTTTAAATATTAAAATAATTATTCTATTATTAACATTTTTGTTTCTTTAATTTTCATGAAATTAAAAATATTTTTATATAAATGTAGATTACTTTATTTGATAAATTCAATTTAATATTACAATATTGAATATTTTGTAAATGTTTTTTTGTTTTTTAATAAATAATTTGTTATTTCTTGTAAATAATAAGTATGTTGTTATTAAATGTAAATTAAAGTATTAATTAATGATTTAGAAAAAAAAAGTACACCTGAAAAACTTTAAGACACATCATATGCAACTTGTAAAATCTCTTGTTATTGTTGACGAGTTCACATCTCCACCCCACAGCACATCCCTGCTGTGTATTGGGAACATCTCTCGATGATAGTACCAATCCCACTGATGTCATCATTAGGAGATGTTCCCAATACACGGCGGGGATGTGCTGTGGAACGGCACCTTGTGGGGTGGAGATGTGATCTCGTTGTTGAGGAGCTAGAAAACATAGTTTTGTATTCAATAGACCTATGTATTAGTATAAAAAATGCAAAAGGTCAATATCTGTATCCAATCTGTCCCCCACTTAATTAGATGTTGCAATAAGCTTAGGAAAAAGTTTAATAAAATGGAAGGGGAAGGATGCAATAAAAACATAAAAGAAATGAAATAAATTGAAAAGTAAAGGAAACGGAAAATAAAACAAAAAAAAAAAAAGAGAGAAGAAAAGATGACCCATTCATTCTGCTCCATATATAAATGAACAAAGAAAAAGTACATTAGAAAAGCACCAACAGTAACAAGAGAATAAAGAAGCAGACATACAGGAGAGGAAAGGCTTACTTATCCTCTCCTCTTATGTTCCAAATGGACTCAGTTTCTTATTTTTTCCTTTTTCTTTCCATATACTTCTTCCAACTACATAAGCTATACATTATGGGTGTTGCATATTGATTAGTTGTAGTTTTTTCGTATAGGCTGCTTAATGCTTACCATGTCCATATCACCTCCGATCTACCAGAACTCACATCCTTGGCATCTAGGTTGCAGAGAAATTTCTGCAACCACCACTTTCAAACACATTCTTAATTTTATGATTCGCTAAAGTTATTGGAATCTAGACATACTGGGTGTGTCGACTCCTCTCTCTCTCTCTCTCTCCTTCCTTCTTGTATCTCCCTCTCAATCTTCAACCCAACCCTTAAGGAAATACCCATCATGATAATACCAAAATGTGTCATTTCACAGAGCTAACAATAGCAAATTGATTTCCTGGCATACTAGAATAGACCCTTTATATTAATAAAAAAAGAATAAACCTTCTATAGGTGGTAGGGTATGGTTTTTGGACCTAAACACTAAAACCTATGTCCCGGGATCCATGTTCGAAACAACAGTGATTGAGAATACTTTTCACAACTCTTTCAGTGCCCATTTTGGACTTGAAGTTGGTAAAATTAGAGATGCAATAGATAGTACACGCCAAACTAATGAACTATGTTAGTGGCCCTCTTGTTCTTAATCCTAAGGCTGTGTTCGGTCGCTAGGAAGATTTTGGTGAGATGTGAAAAGGATGGGATGGGAAGGGATCACAAAAGGGAAAATGGGTGAAAATTTTTAATGTTCCATTGTTTTTTTGCAAAAGGGAAAATAGTTGAAATATAAACCCTAGTAGCAATTATTAATTAATTAATTAGTAATATTCTTATTACTATATTGATATGCCCTAGTAATTTTATAATGAATTAATATTGATAATTATATAATTAATCATTAATATTTTAAATTTTGTTTTGTTAATATTTAATATGAATCAATTAATAATTTTATTTTTATTATTAATTATATACTAATTATTTAAATCCATAATTAGTTCATTAATAATTTTAATTAATTCATATTTTGCATTTTGCTAGTTTAAAAGTTGTTATTAGTAATATATTTTTAATACCCATGACCTAATTACTAATTTTAATATTTTAAAATTAATTATTTATAAGTTATTAAATTATTATTCACTAATAAATTATATCTTTTAATTTATTTTAATTAAATTATTAAATATTTTGTTGTTAATTCTTAATTAATTAATAATATTATTTTGATTTAACATTATATTTTTAATTATTAATTTGATATTTATTAGTTAATTAATTATTGACATTAATTAGTATTTTATTTTTCATTGGTTTGTATTTTATTTTATTCATAACTTAATTAATAATTTTAAAATTTTAATCATTAAAATAATGAATTATTAAATTAAATGGTTATATTAGTATATTATTAAATAAAGAATATTTTATTTATGGGTTATAGATCTAGTATTAACTCTTATAAATACTATTAGGAATACACAAATGTTTGCTAACCGTGGAGATACATATACAAATGTTGATTGTACAAGTTGAGTTTAGATTGCTCCTAACAAATGCTCCCAACACTATCCCAATAAATCATTACAGTTGTACTTTGGTTCTAGTTTCTTGGAAGTAAAAAATAGAATATATAGTGGTAACACCTTTATTAGAAGTGAAATATATAGAGTAATAGATTATGGGGTGTGGTTATATGGTTTATATCTCTTCTAGAAGTCTAGAACTATTACCAAAAAAAAAATAAAAAAGAATTTGAAAAGATCAAGATTTTTATATATAGGCTACACTCCAACTCTTCTATGCAATATTAGGCTACTTGTAAAATATCTCATTACGACATTACCTCACAAAATCATCCTCCATCCATAATACCCTTCCTAAATTAATCCTACTTTATCCCTCTCCATGTTAAATTCTACTTCTTGCACACCACCAAACAACTATTGTCTTATCCCAACCTCTACCCTCACCAAAGAATTACATGGCTGGTTTTGTTTCTTTCAAAACAAAAATAACTGCCACATTAACAAATTCAATATGTTTTTAAAGGTGTGGCAGTTTAGTTTGTTTTGAATACCCCCTCCCCAATTAATCTAATTATTAAAGCTATCTCACATTTCTCAAGCAATAAAAGTTCCTTATTGAAGAGCAATAGTGATTGCTGACTAATAATACGTGGGAAATTATTATCACTTTAGACTCACTTTGGTTGTATGGAATGCAAACTCTTCTTTTGTCAAGGGCATTGTTCATATTATTCTTAGCATAGCCATTTCTAACTAGATATTAAGGGTAATTGATATTCGAAATGCTTTTCCTTGGCAACAAATTTATCTTGAGGTCATCAAAGAAACAAACTATTTATTGAGTCGACTACCCAAATTGCCTTTTTCAAAATTTGGAAGACCAGTGTTTGGTCTTTCTCTATTTGACAATGAAACACACGAAGTTGGAAAGACTTATGCCCAAAATGGCAAAAAATCCAGAAGTTTCAAATAAAGCTCCATGTCTTTCTATGCCTAAAATCTTTTATTTAACAGTTTGATAGACAATGGTAGACTAGGATATTTATCAAACAGTTTAGATTTTTAAAGACAAAAACAAAAGCTCATTATGTCTTTTGGTTGTCTAAGTTGTTGGAAAATCTTTCTATTAAGACTTGCCAAATGCCACTTTTATCTACTTTGAAAGAAAAGAATTATCACATTATATCTTTAAAATCACCAGTGATATAACTCTAATCAAATTAACTAGCCTTCCAGTTTTGGTTACTAATTTTGTTTTCCACCCTAGCTAGAAGTCACTTTTGTTTAAATTTAACATGGAATCCTTTAAAGCATTTAACTATTGGACTTGCAATCAGGCTGAATGTCAACTTGAGAAAAAAATTAAGCTTTAAAAAGTGTTGCATATGTGTTCATCAATTGAATGCTTTGAACTTTGAAGGATGTTTTCATGATGCGAAAAATCTTCCCACTTTTGGAGTTTCTTATTGCAATATTTAGAAGTTTTTCTTGACACATTGGTCCCATTCGTGGTAAGTTACTTACCCAATTAAATGTACTTACTCGGGCAAGTGCATTTACCCATATTCTTTTATTTACCATGTAAATAATGAACATTTTAGCCATAAAAAGTCATTATTAAAAGGGGTATTTTTGTCCCATTCAAGTGTTGGCGACTTTCCCCCCAAGTGGAAAAGTTATTTACCCACCTAGGAGATGGGTACCACTTACCCTGTGGTAAGTGGTACTTAGGAAAATAAGTTTTCCCAATCCCCACTTAAATTTGAAAAAGGAATATGGGATTTTTGGTCAATGGGAATCAAATTTCATTGACCAACTTTCCCCCCTCTTAAAATCCAGAAAAGAATGCCCCTTCAAAAAAAAAAATAAAAAAGCAAAAGGTTTTTGTTGTTTATGTTGCTAAGGTACATACTCATACCTTTAATTGTTGTTTTTTCTTAATTTTCATGCATGTTTATTTTGAGGAGACTAGACAAAACATTAATGTCTGTTAACCTAATGGTCCATAGTGTTACACGATTTAATAATCCCATCGAGGGATGTAGAAGATAGGTTGATTTGGAAACTTAATCCAACTGGTGATTATTCCATGGAATCGGCTTACTCTCTCCTGAAAGGCGAAGTGCAGGATAATGAGAGAATTAAAAGATTAAACAAAATTTGGAATCTAAAGAGTCCGCCCAAAATTCATTATTTTATTTACTTAGTATTAAGTAATAAATTATTGACAAAACAGAGACTAAAAAAGATGGGATGCCAGGATGAAGCAGAATGCCCATTCTATGGAAATGAAGAGGAATTAAAACACCTCCTTCATAACTGTGAAGAGATGAAACAAATTTGGATAAAATTTAGTGAATCTAGTCCCATGAAACAAATGTGGAAGTTTGGTGGGACAGAATTATGGAATAGTCAATCATGGTTAATACTAACTTAAACCCAAAAAAGGCTAGTGTAATCATGTGGAATATCTGGAAGAGGAGAAATAGATAAATTTTCAATAACTGGATTGAATGTATAATTAGTGTTGCTCAAAAAATTCCAAACAAAACTAACTTTTGCAAAATTCTTAGCGGGTATGCTATTGCATTATATTATATTTGGTCCGTAAGAAATGAAAGAGTTTTTAAGGATTCTTACCTTTTTAATATGTGGATTATTCAAAAAACAAATACTATTTTTAACCAAATATTGGATAAATCAACAGATCGTACTTCAAATCCAATCTTCTCTCATCAATTATGTCTTCATCTTAATCATAATACTGATTGTATCATCTTTACATATGCAAAATTACCCAATTTTATTTATCTTTTGAGTTCAGTAGAGAAAGCATAACTTTTTGCAATTTATCAAGGAATATCTTATGCTCGTCAACTGGAAAAATCTAATCTTATAATTTGCTCAGATGGTGATCAATGCACTTGAACATCAATCTTATCTACATTGGACTACTCTTGGACTGTTCATATCAACTACTAATCTGTTTCCTAACTTTAACTCTATAAAGTTTGTATATATTAACAGAAAATATAATATTCCTGCACATGAGCTAGCAAAATGATGTAAACATAGTTCACAACAACATATTTTGCTTTTTCATTATCCTTCTTTTATTCCCTCTGCATAGAACTTTGTAGTTTGATCATCCGAGTAATATATTTTGGTTTTATCTTTCAAAAAAAACCATGGAGTATTAGTAAGGAATGTTTTCAAAAAAAAAAAAAAAACTTCATTAACGAATGTTTTCATATTCATAATTGCTTAGGACTCGTCATTTCCTATTCTCATGTCTGTGAGAAGCAAACTTTGTGGCAGACGGTTTAGCAAGTCTAGGTCATTCAACGATTGCATCTGATCTAAGCCTAGAAGATCAAGGACTTCATTACATTTGTTTTTTCGATGCTTGGGGGACACCTCACCAAGTGAAACATGTCCTTTTAATTTCGTGTATTCTTGTTTTTATTTCCTTTTCCTTTTGTTTTTCCCTTGAGTTTTCTTATTTTTGCCTTATTTCTTCCCAATGTATCAAAAAAAATTAGTAATAAAACCGAGTTAAGGAGCCTACAAGTGAGAAAACATTAATCTGATCTTTAAAAGACCTAGTCCCCACGTTAATTTCCCTCTTATTCATGCACTCATTCAAAAGTTTGACAATTGGCAAAAATTAAAAAAAAAAAAAAAGAGAGAGTAAAAATTTGGCAAATTTTCACAAAAATTAAGGAGGCGTTTGGCATGCCTTTTTGGGAGCCCACTTTAAAAGCCCACTAGCTCATAAATATAAATTTCTCATCATAGGCACCTCACTTCTCTCAATCTGCCTGTGAGTACAAACTCCCAAGTTGTTTGTTTGCAAGGGTGAAAGCAAAAACTTGTGCTCAGTGAATATTAAATAGGACTTAACATGTTTCCCAAATAGCATTCAACATGTTTCTTTTATTTGATGAAAAACCAAATTGAACCAATTATTAATAGATATAATTTATCTTCGTTTGAACCTGGTGGGGGGTTAGGCCTAAGGAGCTAGGAAATGAATATGACTTCATAAGGGGCGACTATTGTGACTTTGTGAGTTTTAAACCTGAGGGTATACTCAATACTTTTCAAAACATCTGAATAATTCACGAGGAATGATGTGGTACCAATCCATAAAAGGATTGATTAGGGGTGGCTATTGGTAGCTTCACCAATAATTATTTGAAACTTGTGAGTTGTGATTGTCAAACTCAATAGGCAATGAGGGGTTGGGTTGCCAAACTCAGAACCTACCTTGACCAACTCACCTCCTCTACCTCTACCACCTGTACCACGACCACCATGACTGCCTCTGCCATTGCCACTATTGTTACTACGACAAGAAACAAGGGCAATCCTGTGGAGATCATAGTTGACTCTTCCAATCATGTATAGAGAACACCCTCAATTTGTGGCAATATGGGATTCCTAAAAATTTGAGATTTTAATGCTTCATATTCTTGTTATAAGTCTAGATAGAAACTTAGCCACATTGAACTGATTTCTCCGTTTCTGCATTTCCTAAGGCATCTTAATTGCATTAACTTGTAGTTCAAACAAGACTCTAAGGGGGTGTTCTTTTCTTGGATTTTGAGAGAGGGGGAAAGTTGGGCAATAGGATTTTGGTTTCCATTGACCAAGAATCCTATGTTTATTTTTCAGATTTATGTGACGAATAAGAAAAGTTTATTTTCTTGGGTATCACTTATCCGGGTAAATGATACTTATCTCCTAAGTGGGTAAATAACTTTCCCACCTAGGGGGAAAGTTGCTAATACTTGAATGGGAAAAAATTACCCATTTTAATAATAAATTTTTATGGTTAAAATGGTCATTATCTTATTTACCTAGGAAATAAAAGAACATGGGTAAAAAAACTTTACCGGGTAAGTGTTTCACATGAAAAACTTATTAGGTAATTACATTTACCCGGGTAAATAATTTATCAAAAAGTAAATAGGGCCTAAAGATTTTTTTTTAAACAGGTATATTTATTTATGGGTAAATTTCTTAGTGAATTGACTAAATGTATCCTTACTGTTTGAAAATTGTGTAACCCTACGTTAATGTTTCCAACAATTGTCTAAATCTTACGAGTGCCATTAAGACAGAGACCAAACACCACCATCGCGGCGTCGCCGGTGGCCATCCACTTCGTTAGATTGAAATCAGCAATCCCACTTTGTTAGAGATGAGACTTAGCGAGATTCAGGCGGCCATTAACATAGAAAGGACAGCAAGGCATCGAAAATAAGGAGTGATTACTGAGATACTGGTCACCTGGACCCTCTGAAGCTGCTTGGGGTTTCCGAAGGGGAGAGTTATTGGTCACTTCTGCAGCCAATATTCGTCGTATCTCTATCGTCTCTGAATAACCAAATGTAGCCGTCGACCTCTGCTTGTGTGTAATGGCAGCGGGCAAGTAGTATCTCCTCAGCACTGTCATCTCTGAATAACTAAATCATATATTGAAAACAAGTAAGAGAAGAAAAAAATACGAAATGTAGCTGATTACTGAGTATCGAGGTAAAAAAAAACACAATATAGAATTACTTTCTAGAGCTTCCACACCGACCGTTCTTCTTCCCTGTTTTCTGGAAAAAAAATAAAACAATAAAAGCTTCGTACCAAGAAAAAGTCACAATTAAGAAACCACAAAATGCAGAGGAGATACAAACAAGCATAACCAGAATAAAGAAGGAAGTTTTTAAGGAAAATGACAATAAGAAACTGGAAATACAGATCAGAAAAATTAGAATTCTTAGTCGAACCTTATTGTCGTATCTCTCTGGTCACCGTTCTCGCGCTTCTTCTAGCGGAATTGGTTTCCCATATAAACAGCTCACTAAACTTCTTTCGCAGCTTTCTTCCCCTTCTTTGTAGAAGAGGATTTTGAAGCACTCGCTTCCCCGTCTTTAGTCATCCACTTTCCCATCGACTTCTCTGGCTTTGAGTGATGTGCAGAGCGTGGATAAACGGTCAATCATTCGCAAGTTTCAGCTCTCTAAGGATTTACTAATGAAGTTCCACTAGTCGACTTAGCGTGGAAAAACGGTCAATCCTTCGCAAGTTTCAGCTCTCTAAGTAGGAGGTAAAAAGTACAACACTCTAGACACTCTTTAGTAGGGGTGTTCATGGTTTGATTAACCAAATCACGGGCCTATTTTTAAACCAAGTTGGTATCACGATTGGGAAACCGTGAACCAAAACTGAACAGAAACCAATCGATTAACCAATTGATCAATTTAGTTGACGGAAGACTTTTCATATTGGTTAATCAAAATCGAACTGGTATCTTCTTTTTTTCAAAAATTGCAAATCAAGTAGTTGCTTTCCTACCTTGACACACCGTAGCTTCTCCTTTCACCTTCATTTTGGTGGGATGGGAAAGTATGAGATAGGATGGGATGGGAAAGGGAAAATGGATGAAAATTTTTCATGTTCCATTGTTTGGTTGCAAAAGGGAAAACAATGAGAAAATCAACCATAGTAATAATAATTAATTTTTTAATTATTTTATATTAATTATTTATACATTAATGAAATAGTTTCACATTTAATTAATATTGATAATTACCTAATAATTATTAATTAAGAATTAATATTTTAACATTTATTTTAATAATATTTACCATGAATTAAATAATAATTTTATTTTATTATTAATTATTTATCAATTTTATCAGTTAATAATACTTTGTAGTATTTAGTATCTTATTATTAATTAGATATTAATTATTTAAAATCCTTAATTGGTTAATTAATTAATATTTTACATTTTATTAGTTTATAAGTTATTATTAATATATATTTCATTAATACCAATGACTTTATTAAACGTTTTAATATTTTTATATTAATTACTCATAAATTATTAAATTATTTTTTGATAAATAGTTTATTTTAATTAAATTAAAAAATAATTATTTAATTATAAAATGTATTTTTGTTAATTCTTAATTAATTAGTAATATTTTTATGATTTAGTATTTTATTGTTAATTATTAATTTGATTAATTAGTTAATCTTTTACTTTTATTAGTTTATATTTTATTTTATCAATACTTATGACTTAATTAATAATTTTAATATTTTATTCAAAAATATTTATTGAATAATATTTTTATTAATTATGTTATTTTAAGTTATTAATTATTTTTTAAATATATTATCAAATAATTAAACATTTATTTGTGGGTCATGGATCTCGTATAACTCTTAGAAATACTATAAAGGAAGGTGTTTTCCTTTTTGTTAAATAAATTTCCCCTACATTCTCACTTGTTTCCCACCAAAATGGTGGGACTCCACGTTCCAAAAATTGGGATCTATAATCCCACCTTTTTCCCATAGCATCTCATGTCATCCGATGAACCAAACATAAAAGGGAGGAATATTTGAGAATTTTCCATATTTTCCCTTACCATCCCACAAAATAAACAGAGCCTTAGTTTCTCCTTTCATAGGGATGGCAATTTCCCTATAAAACTGGGGCCCCGCCCCGCCCCGAACGGGGTAGGTTTTCCCCGACCCTAAACAAGGACGGGTGGGGACGGGAAAATAATTTTTCCCTGAACCGGGGGGTGGGGGCAGGTTTTGGATATAATTTCCCGAACCCAAAGGTAAATTAGTAAAATATATCTAGGTTCAATATTGATATTTAAAATATCTCTAAGTTTTCCCTAAATTTAAAATCTTAGAATCCCATAATTTTATTTTTTAATTATCCCTAAAGTATTATAATTCAATTCTAAAATATCCTCAAATTCCTGTATCCTATGTATAAATTGTCCATAAAATAGATATTTTTTTAAGTAATTGCCTTAGAGTGGAAAAAATTCAAGAATTCTCTATCCCTGATGAAAAATGGATGCTCCACCCTCAACCCACCCCACCACCGGGGATGGGGCAGATACGGGGCAAGGTATCTTGACTTCGTGGTGGGGACGGGAAGGGGGTGCCCCGCCCCATTGCCATTCCTATCCTTTCACTTGATTTACTCGATTGCCATAGTCACTACCCCTGGATCCAACCCCGGGGCTTGTGACGACTTCCTCTCTCCGTAGGTGGGACCTATCATGAAATTCAATATCAGTTTTTGATTTTACCCCTATTACAGAATCCAGCAACAACAATTGCCAACTAATAAAAAAAAGAAGACTATTTTCTAGTTTGTTAGGCTTTGAAAAGCCCGAAAGGTCCTATGAAAATACTTGATAAATAAACCATAACTTATTTGGTCATTGGCATAAAGTGTTTTTTGGGCCTTGTTTATTCTTTACAATTTACAAGTTGAATTTCTTTTACTAGTAGAAATATTTATAGATCTTAATTTTTGAGAAGTGTTATATTTCGATTGTTTTTTTTTATGAATACATTTTTTTTTTGTTAAGACTAAATATAATTCCAAACATTTCCTTCAAAAATGTTTATATATTGCTAATTTATTTAGTTATGCTCACACTATGCAAGTACAGTCATTGTGAATTTGTGATTGGCTTCAAGTACAGTTAATTCAATGGAATCTACCCTTGTCGGGAATGGTACATGTCCCATTTGGATTGATTAAATATGTGCAAGAGAAGAGAGAGAAGAGAAAGTATAGATAGAGAGAGGGGAGATAGTGGTTAAGAGAAAAACCCGAAGGACTAAAATTTTGGATGGCCGTATGGACGTGAGGCCAAAGGTAAGAATCGGCTTTATATAGTAAAGATGCTCAGTAAAGGCATGTGGTCTCTCTCATCACTCTCTCCCCTCTCTGGTCTTCTGTCTGACTAATTTAAGTTTTGAATTTTGAAATGAAATGAAAAGTGAGGAATAGGGAATGGGGAATGGATTCCAAGACAGAATTGATTAAAGTTCCAAGGAGGGAACAGTGAATTCCGAATTCCTCCGCGATCTTGTTTGTGATTGTGGTCCTCTCTTTACTCCTTCCCTCCTAAGCACCAGCTTAGTCCTCCTTAAAAAATAAGCCTATTTTTATATTTTTTTAAGTAAAAAAAAAATGTTAAAAGTTAAAATCCAGTCACAGTCAGCGGAGCCGCGGAGGAACAAAAACTGTTCACTTGGCAGGCTGGATTTTTATTTGAAAAAGTCTCCCACGTGATACAGAGTGAGGGACGAGACAAGTGGATTGCACCAGGAAAAATAAGAAAAAGAAATAGAATAATAGAAAAAAAGGGAAAAAAACGAATGGAGGGGAACAGCCCAAAAGAGGGAATGACCCAAACGGTCTTCTATCTCCACCGTCCTAGATCTTATCACTATCCCTCTTCTCTCTCCTCTCTCCTCATATTTCACCTTTTGTTGGTTTCTCTTTTTTTTTTTCTTTTATTATTTATATTTATATTTATATTTACAAGTAAGTGAGAGAGAGAGAGAGAATCAGAATTCAGAAAGGGGAGATTTTAAATGGTTGGGTTTATGGGTTGAGGAGAGGAGCTAAAATCGATGCAGTTTTTGGTAGGAGGCACCGCTGCGTGAAGAAATTATAAAAGAGAAAGAGTAAATAAAAAAGAAGGTGTTGGGTGAGACGAAAGGCTTGCAGTTGCAGGTTCTGCCCCCACTTTCTGGTTTGTCTAATTCCGTGACGCTGCTGTCCATTTCTTTATTTATTTTTACTTTCTACTTGTTGGTATTTTGGTTCTCACCTCCCCTCTCTTTCTACTCTATAAATCTAACCAACCGCTTCTTCATTTTTCTTTCTCCTTGTCTACCTTTCTCTGCAATTTTTTTCTTCGTTTTTTTGTTCGTTTTTCCCTCCCTTCTCAGAGATAAGTTAAGGAAGTTCAGGTGATTTTTTTTTTCTTTCTCCTCCCCCTGTGTTATTAAGATCTCTGTTCCTCTTTTGCTTCTTTTCTTTGATAAAGATCCTTTTTTTTTTCTTGTTAATTTGTTTGTTTTTTTGTTTTGTTTTGTTGGACATGCAATTTGTCTCCGGTTCGCGTTTGTCCCTCTAGATGTTAGGGCACCGTCTTTGATGGTTTTGATGAGCTGTGTTCTGAGTGTGTTCCGAAAATTTGTTTCTTCTCTGGGAGGTTTTACTTGTGGGTAGAAAAGATTTTGCCTTGTTTATAGATCTATAAGTATTTCACTGTTTCAGCTGCTTTTACTGGAAGCTCTTAATTTTCTGCCTTGTGCCTTCAGAAAGTCTAGGGTTCCATCTTTTTGCTTAGATCTCGTCGGAAATATGGCAAATATATTATCTTTATGACTAGATCCTTGGTCTTTCGTTTGGATCTGCTACCCAACCATTAAGTCTCGGCTAAAGTTCTTCTTCCTTTTGCTGTACCAGACGTTCTCCTTCAGATCTCGAAGCGCAGTCAAGATGAACCATTGCGGTTTTCAGCAGAACGCCTTCGCAGCCTGTGATGAGAGGAGGAGCTCCTTCTCCATCTCTGAGCGGAAAGATCTCGTCGTTTGCCCCAAACCTCGCAGACTCGGCCTCTTGAATCATGCCATCAACGACTCAATCAGACCATTGAGATGGCACTTCAGGTACTTTATTTTTCCTTTCTAGATCTTTTCGCGTCTTGAATCTTCATGTCGAATCGCCTTGAAATTTCTATTTATAATTTGTATAGTATTAATTTTTCTGCTTATGCCCGACTAAAGCAGTCAACCTGATTTTTGCGAGTCGAAAGCTGGGACTGAGCTTCTAGACATCATTCTGACAAAGGTATTATATTATTCCATCTTCTTCTTCTTCTTCTGAAAAAACCCTTTCACGGAGAGCCTTGCAGAAGATAAAAAACTTTTCCTTTGAGATGGTTTGTCACAACAGTGCGTTTGTTGTGTTATTACAGGGTAGTTATGGAGTAGAGCAATCGGCAGCTCAGGCGGCTTCGTCGCCCCCGTTTTTCTGTGGGTCTCCACCGACTCGGGCAACTAACCCACTAATCCAAGACGCCCGTTTTGGGGAGGAGAAGCTGACCTCGCTTGCACCGGTTCCGATCCCAACTCCGTCGGGTCTTTCTTCTTCCCCGTCCTCGTCCGCCCGCAAGGGAGGATGCGTTCGCGCGACGTTCGGGAACAATCCAGCGGTGAGAATCGAGGGTTTCGATTGCCTCGACAGGGACAGGCGAAGCTGCAGCATTCCTGCCGTTGCTTAGAAACCCTCTCCAACGTTTTCCATCGGTACATAGAAGAGAACAAAAAACCACAACACCAGGTCAACAACGTTTTCATTTTTTTTTTTTTTTTTTGAAGAAAGCAAAGAAGAGAGGTTTTAATTCGAATTTTCAGAAGGACAGAGAGCAAGAGAGAGAAGGGAGGGAATTGTGTTATTATTGTAAATATGTTTTCGGTTTTCCTCGATCAATCTTCGTTGATAGGATGGTATTATCTATGTATGTAAAGAGGGATGTATGTAGATGTGATGAAGATCCAGCAAATAAAGAAGAGAGGGAAAGCCAAAACAAACCCTTCTCTTCTTAATTGTTATTATTAGATTAGGGTAGTTTTCTTAGGTTAGAAAGAAGGTTGAGAGAGGTTTAGGGGTCTCTTCTCATGGTCATCGTCTCAGAGTCTCTTTCTTGCGTTTATGTAATGAAAAGGAAGATTAGGAGGGAGGGGTTGGCTAGGCTACCCTTTGATTTCTTTTTTTTTTTGGTTGTGTTTGCGGCCTTGAGAGAGAGAGAGAGAGAATTTGTATAAAGGGAATGTTAAATTATTGAGTCAATGTGTCATTTATTACTCAATGTAAATATAGTTTCATTTTGGTGGGTTCTTGGTGGTATATTGTTTGGGTTCAACTTCTCTTGGTTGTTTCCAGCTTTTGTTTTAAAAGGATGGATTTGAACAAAGCGTTGTGCGTGTGGGGGCCTGATCCCGCCGGCCCTTTGACTGGAAATTCTAGATTGTGTTAGGCTGGGCTGGCTCCTCGTGATGTTTTGGGGTGGTGGTTTGTTGGTGGCAGTGTGCATTAATTAAAGGAAATATGTGTCCTTTCATGCGCTCTTCCTTTCTGATTTTGATTGTTCGACTTTAACTCCAAAGAAATAAAGAAAATAGTGCAAGGTGACTCGACAAGTTTTTCTTGAATAATTTATTAATGTGGTAGAAGCATCATCTCTACGGGGGTTACGATTTACCAAGAAGTCCAAACTTGTTCTTGATAAATTATATGTCGTTGAATATTTATGTTATTGTGTTATAAGTTTGAATTTGACTATACTAGACTGTTGATTAGTCATGAATGGGGTTGGAGTGAGGGCACTTATTCACCGTCTTTCATGGGGATGAGTAATCAACAGTCTAAGGAGTTGTGATTCAACACGGGATCTGAATGAGATTTTGGGGGTGGCTTTCGCTTTAGCCTTTAACCTATCATTATTCACCCTCACGGCCCCACGTCTCCCGTGAGTCAGTGATCCTTCAATGTAAATCGAGAATTTATTAACCACATGGAATCTGTTGAGCTCATTATCATCCTAGTCCACAAATAAGAGGGGATATTACCTGGCTGCAAGCCTGCAACCCAAGGTCAATGTTGGATGTTGAATGCATAATGAATTTCTGTGCTACTACTCTTGGATGTTGGATCCCAACCACAGAACGCAAAAATAATTGCTTCAAAAGGTCAATGTTGCGTAAATCGAATTCGGATCATTCCTGTTCTGATTTTTAGATCGGATAATAGGATCCTATCTGACATCGGATTGGATTCACATTATATATGTTATTTATTTATTTATAAATATATTTTTTATAAATTTTTTATATTATTTTTTTTATAAAAGACATATATATATATATGATGAAAATAGTTAAAAAATATTTGTATTTTAGTTAAGTTAGTATATTTTAATTTTATTTTATACTTTATTAATTTTTAAAGAAAACAAGTCGGGTTGAATCAGATGTAAAGATTCTATTTACCGAAAGGATTCAAATTTAAATCAAGTTCTATCAGATCCCAATTGAATTAAATCTGACATAAAATATCGGATTTAATTTAAATATACACTGATTCAAATTCAATCCTTTCCGTTTACATCCCTAATTGGAACGTGTCATTGGCCATGACTAAGTTTGATTGACCCATGCCTTCGTATTATTCCGACGGGAGTTTGGATCTCTTACCAACAAAATATTAAATACGGTGCAACCATGGTTCAAAGTATTGATACGATACATTCGATACGGGGCGTATTGTATTATATCTGTTGAAAAAGATACGGTTCGAAACGCCTGTTTTCAGGTTTAATAAGGGTAGTTTGGCACGATCTATCAAGGAGGCACATAGGCACGATTTAATTGAGGGGTGACAACTCAACCAAGCAAACTCAGTTCACAACATTCAGAGCTTGGGTATTCAGCCAGTTCGGCCCAAAAAACCACCTCGATGTAAAGGCACCACGATACCTAATCCTGTTCGGGACTAAAGAATTGAAGTGGCAGTTCGAGGGAGCCGAAACGTCACATGATCGACTCCAAAGGCCTTCCCAATGGGCCCCAAATTTCTCAGGATCACGATAAGACTCGTCCTATCTCTGCCTGAATCGGAGGTAAAATGATAAACCTTATCAACATACTGCTCTCCTTCAAAAACGGAACAAACCTTATCTACATAGCCCAGATATCTCGGAGATCATTCGTAAGGCCCATGACTAATCCAGTATATAAAGACATGAAACCTCAAGGCAAAGGTACGCGTGATTATTCAACTCACTAGCACTCAAACTCTCAAGCATTCAGCTCGCATTCACAGCATAAGTATTGACTTAAGCATCGGAGCGACCTTGCCGGGTTAGCTACCATGGGTTCTCTGATTCACTGTTTTGCAGATCGGTCCAGCTCGCCGCCCAATTAGAGTTCGGATCGCCTTCCAACTAGGAGTAGCGAGATCGCGCACCATCAATTGGCGCCATCTGTGGGGAATGATCGAAAGGTCATCCCTATCTCTTTACAGTTTTAAACTCAATCGCAACCTCAATGACATCTTATAGCCACACCGAAAAAAGTATTGAGATGAACGTCACCGGGGGGCAAACCCAACAATCAACCTTCCCCCAAAGGTCGTATGGTATGCATTGGCTAGTTTACTATTCCGCTCATAGTGTTTGGAGTCCCGTCAATGTCCGCACCACAAAGCGCCACGCAAGTGAGCGTCCCACGCCCCCTAGTGTTAGGCGCGACTTTCTCTGAGCTGTCCGTGGTTTCCCTCAAAATCTGGCATTCTTAGTTCCATGACCTCGTTTAGTGCGTTCAGGCAATTCAGATCTAGATGCAACATGTCCAACAGTTCCAGCAGTACTAGCAGTACTATCTGTACTAGCAGTATCAGCACCAGTTCCCTCCACTATAGCCGAACCAGCAGCTGGTTCCGCCCCGGCACCCAGGGCCCCGTCAGGGCCAGAACCCGAATCGTCCTGGAACCAACTAGAACATCAGCCGATCTCCCCATCGAGGTGAAGAGACCTCGCAAGTTCCGATTCCTCTCACAGGTCAGGTTTCGCCCCGTGGGAGGAGAGATGGTCAGCACACTCCTCTAGTCTCACAAGGAAATCTCAAAAAACTGGTCTTGGGATAGTCAACTCAACAGGACCAATCCGCCTCGGTACTCCTAGTAGGAAAATGACGGCTCACAAGCAAATAATAACCAGTTTGGAGTTCGAGTGCGAACTCGAGAGAAGACCTCTTCGTCCCACGCGATAGCCATTTCGTGCCTAGAACCAAGAGAATCCAACAAGAAGGAATCAGAATTTACCTCGTGATAATGCCAAAATACCAGACCAGACTGAGGTCAGCAGTACCAACGGTGAGCCAGTGAAGAAGCAGCAGTGGCGGCGTCATAAGACATGCCACCCCTCGACCAGAGGCTGTCCGCCTACGAAGCCAGACCGACAAGAAGAGCAAGCCAAAGGAAAGGAAGAAGTGAGCTCGGTGGCTACGAAGACTCCGCCTCCACCACTTTGCCGATCATCCCCTCTGTCTCCTGAGCTCTTGGCAACTCCAATGCCAAAAGGTTTTAAGATGCCCCCGTTAGACAAGTATGACGGGTCGTTTGACCCCAACGACCATGTGGACTCTTTCCAATCTCAGATGCACCTATCTGGGGCTGATGAGTCCTACATGTGTGTGGCCTTTTCCACTATGTCTAAGGGGGTAGTCCAAACTTGGTATCGGAACCTCGTGCCGGGCTCCATCAAAAGCTGGTCCCAGTTTGCCGACTTGTTTACTACGCACTTCAATATGGGTAAGAAGTGCCCGAATTCGCAAAAAGCCTTCTGAACGTGGTTTAGAGGGAGGGAGAATCAATTCAAAGCTATATAAAGCGCTTCAACGATACTTGCTTGCAGATACTGGACCTCGACTCAGTGGTATGACTCACAGCGGCAAAGAAAGGAATTACCCATAAAGAGTTCAAGTGGTATGTGGTATCTTACAAACCAAAAGATATCATCGAATTTCTCAAGTTAGCAGATTAGTTCATCGGTACCGAGGAAGAGATCAACCAAAATATCGACAATCGATTGCCGAAAAAGAGGAAGAGAGAGAATGAAGGAACAAGTAGTGGTGGGCAGGAAAGGAAGAAAAGCAAGTCCTCGAGCAGGGGAAGAAGCAACTCAAGAAGCCGCTTTAGGACCCCACCTGTAGAGAGAACGAGCTACACGCCTTTGAACGCCAAGCGAGGAAAGATCTTAATGGCTATTAAGGACTCCGCTTTCGTCAAATGGCCTCCCAGGCTAAGGGGAGACCCGACAACAAGAAATCTGGATGTCTTTCGCCATTTCTACCGAGATCATGGACACAACACGGAGAATTGCAGGAATCTTCACGACAAGATCGAGGAGTTTATCCACCGCGGGTACTTGAAGAACTTCATATTGCGAGGAAAGCGGGGACAAGCAGACCGACAAGAAGATCGACAAGGGGACCAGAGGAGGAATGGCCCCGAGGTCAACAGGCAGAATGAGCAACCATGACGATAGTTGCCAGAGGAAAGACCGATACGCGGGGTAATTAACATGATCACCAGCGGGTCCATCATCGCCGGTTGTATATCAACAGCTGGGAGGACCTCGATCCGTGACTTAGAGAATGAAGGGGAGAACCCGCCAAAGCGACCTCGACTTGAAGAACCGATCTACTTCACTGAGGACGATGAGCACGAGATCCAGTACCCTCACAATGATGCCTTGGTGGTGAAGCTAAGGATTAATTACTTCAAGGTAAAACACATCTTGCTAGACTGAGGCAGCTCAGTAGATATATTCTTCAAGGACACCATTGACACAAACTACAGTTACAACAAAGCGACCTGAAACCGGCAAATACTCCTTTGGTAGGGTTCAGCGGCGAGGTGGTCAGACCTCTTGGTCGAATCACAATACCCGAGGAAACTGGCACATGGCCAAACATCGTGCGATTTGAGCACACGTTCCTGGTAGTCGTGACTCCCTCCCCCTACAACGCCATAGTAGGTCGGCCCATCATGCATGTTCTACGTGCAATAGTATCCACTTACTATTTAGCGATGAAGTTCCCAACTGATTATGAAGTGGGAGTCGTGCGAGGTGACCAGCTCTAATCACGCAAGTGCTACGTGGTTGCCCTAAAAGGAAAAACAAAGCTAGCAGAGGATGTCGAGCTCGAGCGACCAGTGGAGTATACCGACGAATGAGCTGCCCCAAAAGAGGAGACGGTCCACATACCAGTCTTTGCCGCCGAACCGGCCAAGACTCTCCAGATCGGTGCCTCGATCAGCGAACCACTTCGATCCAAGCTAGTAAG